GTGTGTGTGTGTGTGTGTGTGTGTGTGTGTGTGTGTGTGTGCGTGTGTGTGTGTGTCCATGTCTGTGCGTGTAGGGGGAGGCACATACAAGCACATAAATACACATACGAAGAAACACAGTCACACAAGGGCATGTCTTATCTTACTGTTTCTCTGCATAAAAGATAAACTTTTCAGTTACAATTAATCTACAAAACGTAGCACAATAATTATCAGACGAGAAGAGAATGAAAGAGCGATGGTCAAAAAAAAGGGCGCCAGAAGCAGACTTCTAAAATGCGGTAAAGCAGAGCGAGCATTGATTATGGGCATTTGCACTGCACACAGCACAGCGGAACTGGATCACGATGCGGTAGAACAGTATGCACACACTCTGCGTGCCCGGTACTGCCAGAAAGATCAGAGGTTACCATATAATTTGATATGCGTCAAATTGGCCGGCGCACACTATATGGAATCCTTTGCTGCACGTCAAAGTACCTTTTCTTTTTCGTGCGTTTTTTGCAGCTATGCAGTGCAAAAACGCATATTGACGAGGAGTTGTCTGTGTGTACGTCTGTACCGATTTTGCATCTCAAGACCTACAAAAGCTAGAGGGCTGGAACTTTGGAAACTTAATTTACATGCAAGTACGGGCCTCAATCTCCAAAATGGGCGCCCTTACCCACGTACGAGCCCGCTAAAGTTTTTTACGGGCAAGTTCATAACTCGGGAATCTGATAAGCTAGAAAGCTGAAATCTTAAGGGGATGTTCCCCGTCCAAGTGGGTATTAATGAGCTCATACCCAGCCCCCGGGCAAGCGTGGTAACCGCGTACGGGCCTGCCAAAGTTTTTTTAAGGTAAGTCGCTAACTCAAGCATCTGAGAAACTAGAAGACTGGAATTTTGAAGGGATGTTTCCTGACAGCCCTGGCGGTCAGTTTGAAATTCTTTTCACTAGAAGCATCTGCACGAAAAACCAGTGCCGCTAGCGACAAGAATTTGCGGGGAGCTATGCAAAAAACGCATCTTCGCACGGGCAGTCCGTGCGCTGGTCAATTATTCATAAACTTCCGAGCAACGCCATCTTTTAATGCCTCATCCGAACACAATCACGTGTTATTTGGACCACATCGCTCGAAGGATAAGGCTGTAGGAGTCGGTTTCCGATGAATACTCAAAAATAACCCGGCGTGAGCTTACGCTTTCTAACTTTTAACCAACCACCAATTCTGTACATAATGGCAACCCTAAGCAGTTCGAAAAGAAACTCCTACACACTTCTCCAACAACAGTATCCTTATTTGCAGGAAATTTATCGCCCGACTTGCTTACCCTTGCATATTTACAAGCTGCTCACGAAGATTATCACCAGCGGCTAATCAGACTCCTCGATGAATAGCAGCCAAGGAAGCAAGCTGAATTCCCGAGTAATTACAACACGATTGACCAAATTCCCACTCTAAACGAACTGCTTGAACGTGCAAGGGAGTACCATTCATTTTGTCTTCTACTTGTCGGTTACGAAAAAGCATCCGATATCATGGAGCTAAACTCTTGCCGCTGAAGATTAATGAGAGCCATGTGCAAATTCTTAAACCATAGGCTGCTCGACAGACATACACGTATTTTGTGCTTCAGCAGTTGCACAAACGCATATTGTCACGCCCTTGTGTGTGTGTGTGTATGTGTGTGTGTATGTGTGTATGCGTCTTATCCCCGGTTTTTAACTCAAGAACTAGGAAAGCTAAGCAAAAATTTTAAGACTGCGAACCCCACAAACTCATATTCAGCCTTCACGTACGAAGACGTAACACATGACCAGACAGAAGTTTGAACGCCAAAATTGCAAACTATGGCACCATGAAAGCTAGAAGGAACTTTTGGATGCATAACCCAAATATTTCAAATTCAGCCTTCACGCACGCCTGGGTCACAAGTAAAGTCACGTGAAAGACCAATGGTCAGTTCCCGGCACCAGCTGCTCAGGTTAGACAAAACCATCACAACAGTTCCACAAAACAGACAAATAAAACGCAAATTCAATGGACTGTTGAAACATGCATCGGTTCAAACAAGAAAAGCTGCACTTTCGCTTTTCTTACCATCTGTCGCACAAAGACGAGTTTGAAGACAGGTTTTTTTCCGATAAGCTAAAAAAGAACAAAATAACACTGAGACTTTTGATACGCTGAGAAAGTTTTCTGGTAAAGTAGCGATCACAGGAAATTTTTACATTTCGATAAGTTTCCTTAATAAAGTAATAAAACACAAAATAGCGTTTACTGCAGAAACAGCATGTACATTCGTGCGACCGGTTTGTTAAAGCGTCAAATTTTTATTGAAAAAGTGAAATAAAACAATCTGAAGAAGGAATGAAAGGGACAGTGAGCAGTCACACCTGTTAACACTTATCAACTAAATGATAAAGCATAGAAAAATCATTTGGGAAACTGTAATGCCATCACTTCTCTTATCAGTCAAGAGATTTTCCTCCGTTGTTTGCACCCGTTTTTGCAATTATGTCGCAATGAAGATTATATTCCTGATCGACTCCAAGATAAGAATCGGAGAGAATGAAAACTGTAAAAATGTGGCGACCTCTGCAACACAATCAATTTAAACAGACAACTGAAATGGCTACTCAAAAACGAAATTTTCTCATATTTAGCATACACTGTGCAGAAGGAACAGTCTGGGTTGTGTCCAAAAAAAAAAATGAAATTCCTAAATTCAAATTTATGGTACTAAAAATATAAAGTGAATTTTCCGACAAAAAATCAAAACTCCCTTCTGCATTCACATTCTGTGAGAAGACAAGACACCCGGAAGGTAAGTGTAGCTGCAGATAATAATCACGCGCTAACACAACTGTCGATGGCAAAATCTCAAAAATTCTTAATTTTAAGGATATTCTAATTAGCTACCTTGAAATACAAGCAGTTTTAAAGCAGGAAAGTGAAAATGAACTCACAGTCGTTTCGGTATCCTGAAAGGTATGCTCAGATGCCGAAATCCAGCAACAGGCGGAAACTTTTTACAGCACAACGCCTCGCCAGTATCCTTTTCGCCAACAATCACTATCCAACCGGCCGTTCTTTCTTTGTGAAAACGTGGGCAAAATGCATCGGTTTCAAACTAAACAGCATTTATCATTTTTAGTTGCAAAAAATATTTCTTAGTGCCTTTTGCGAGAGAAAAAAGAGTTTTGCATTCTCATTGTTCGTCAACGCCTAAATTTCAACCAAAGTTCTTGTCAGTAAGAAATTTTGAAAATCCCTCTCATTAACGAGGAATGCTGCCAATGCGAAAACATAAAAGAAGAGAATTTGATACGAATGCGCCGAAATAATCATCTAATAAATGAATGACATTCAAAATGCCACCGAAATTATACTGAAATTTTCAGCCTTTTACATGGGAAAAGCTTAAAAATAGACATATGCAAAACAGGGAATGAAAAAACAGGTAACAATGCGCATAGTATTTCCGGTGCGAATATGCGTTCTTACAACCTGAAATTTGCTGTATTCCTTTGCGAGACACAGCATGTGTAAAAGCTATTATTACGGTTTTTGTGCCCTATAGAATCAGGAAGTATTTTCATAAAATTTTGGCTTTCCTGTCTGCCCGAATGCTGAAAGAAGAGGATGGAATATTTTATATATCTGTATATGAAGCAAACGCGTAAGCAAAAGCCTATTTTATGCTTGCTGATCCGCACATGAACAGCAAACATTCTCAGGAAAATACTGTTTCCTGCATATTCCTGTTAACTCTGAACTAATATTCGTTTGCGCACACGCAAGATTTAGGTATGCTTAAAAGCTGAATTGAAAAATTCCGGTCTTACATGGGCAGAGAATATCTTCGCAAAGTTTCAGCCTCATAGTTTGACTGGTTCGAGAAATCGCTTTACCTTACAAATTTCTTTGAGGTATCTAAAAGCGTGACACAGATGGGTGACAAAACACATTTTAAGCTTACGTGTCCGCGTACGGAAAACAAATACTCTCTCAAATTTAAAGCATTTTAATCAGCTCTGTTCCCGAGTTGGCATTTAGCCAATGATACCAACGGCTTTAATTTAGGTATATCACTATGTGTAACATAGGTGTGCGTGACAGCTGAAATTAAAATCTTCAGCTCAAGGATGTAGAACATCGCTGCAAAATTTCGATCTCCTGTTTTGTTTGATTCCTGGAATCGCTTCTCCGCCAAAAAATTCATTTTTCCTTTTCGGCGTCCGTGCACAAGACCAAAAAGTAAATGAACGATAATTTTAAAAAAGGAGGGACGGAATGGTATGGGAATATCTTCCAAAAGCTCCTATTTCCCAATTCCTTTGCTTTGTGGGTTGGAATTAGGTGAAGAAATGTGAATATACACACATTTACACATACACACATGCGTAAATACATATACACAAATAAATGTGCATACGCATAAGCATACCCAAACAAACCCTTGCCAATATGCGTTTTTGTATTTGCATAAATATGCAAAAAAGCACAAAAATAGTGGCAAAGGCAGTGTGCACGATCCCAATCCACCAGAAACTTGTGAATAAATTAAAAATTTTGCAACTGAAAGAGGAAATAACCAGACTCACTTTATACGGCCCGATCATTTCAACACTGAATACAATGCGATAGGAGGCATCAGCCTCAACCTGCACATACTCTGGCCATCGTTCATCTTGCAGATAATCCACCTCATACGATGATCCACTTTCACTGTGCAGTATAAACTTTTTGGGTTGCAAAACTGGCCACCTCAGAAGAGCATCGACCGCCTGTAACACAATGATTTCTAAAAGCAATACAGTTACTTTCATGTGCTTTTCGGAAGCTCCACTGCTGCTACAGTATGTGGTGACAAGATCGAGTCTTAGCATTCTATCATATTAAAAAAAGGCCACATCTCCAGCTTTTTATCAAAAGTGCCCGTGTGAAATCATTCAGATCTTTGATCTAGCCATCTCAGCGTAGTGCGCTATAGCAACGAACTAAACAGAGTCGAGGTACGACGAGACACAAATCCCGGCAATTCCAAACATGCCCAGAAAATTAAGTCTGAACGCTGCAGATCAAAGTTACTTTAACTAACACGTAGTTAATGCAATAAATATTATGCAAACATGCACAAAACGCAACATGCACACTAAATAATGCGCTATAGGGAACAACACAGAATAAATTACACAACAACTAAGTAAATTCTGAACGAAAATTTTCGAAATAAACGTACTTCTGTCGCCTGGTGCTCATCTAAGATAGTTACATCAAGGATTTTCTTGATTGCTTTCTTTCTCGCTTGCTCGACGTTTGCTCCATCCAGACGAAACTGATCTTTGAGCAGCGGTATTGTACAGTCAGGCCTAAAAGTGTACAGTAAAGATTTCTATACTCTAACTCAGTGAAAGAACCGTTTAGTGGAACTGAAAAATGGAGAGAATATCTTATCACATGCACATCCCACCGAAGTTGAACAAAAAGTACAATCTCCAGAAGCAGAAATAGTCAATACACACCCGATTCGTTCGATGATTTCTTCATTAAAATGAGGTAAAACCATAAGCGGATGATCGGTGTGCCAATTGGCCTGCGCTAATGTCTGCATCAAAATTACCACGGAAACAGCGGTGGATAACCATTTCCTCAGTAAAGCTATGTCCAACATGGCCTGAAATTCACAGAAAAAAAAATTCTTCATTATCATTCGTGTTCCCACTTCACTCCTGCATTATCATTCGTCTCCCGATGAATAAACTGAAGAAATAGCCTCTTCGCAAATACTGCGTATTTGAAGGTCATTTCTCATGAAGCACTGAGAAAAACATTGAGTATTTGCAGTTACTTCCAAATTCCTAGAAACGTTAGTAAGAAAGTGACAAGATTACTGCAAAATAAGTAACTCAAAGGTTCACAAAATTGCATTTATATCTCTACTCTAATGAGCTACATTCATATATCATTCTCCATCTATACAGCCACATTGCGGCACCCCAGAATAGCTTGCCATTTGGAAAACCTTGCATTCGTTTCGTCTCCCGAAGAGATTACCAGCTAAATGATTCTACGAACAGAAGTTTTTTAGCAAGATTTTAGTTGTTTCAAGACGTCATTATTATCTACTGATCATCAACAACCCATGTCAACGGTGCACTCCTAGACCAAAACGAGGTCTCAGCTGACTAGAAGTTTATTGTTACATTTATGCCAAGTACTGAGAATACTAAAACTGCTCGAACAATCTCTTTGGGACACAACATTTGTGAAATTCCTGAGATGTACCAAACACGTCGAATGCAATTACGCTGGATCCTTCAATCCTGCGCTACAGGTTTCCGGCTATTATAAACTTCTTGATCGACTTAATTTCACCATACATTAATACTGGCAGAGGTATCGACCCTATGTCATCTTGGATGCAACCCCTGTTAGCAAACCTCGCTGTGGTGCTGCGATGAAAAAAATTCCGGAAAGCCCTGACCTTTTCGGAACCCATTGAATGCTAGCGGTGCAGTAGTTCAGAACAGAAAAACCGAACTCTTTAAAATATTACATTCAGAATTCGAGTGCACTGGTCGAGCACAGAACGCTGATCAGTAACGTAATCGGTCATCAGTTTCATACGACTGAGATGTGCTGCCAAAAGAATAAACGTTTTGGTATGTGATGAATCCATAGCAGCGTCGGCTGGCAATTGTACGGGGAGAAGCCGATGCAGCTGTCTAAAAAAAATGTTAACTTCGAAAATTTCTAGAAGCAAAAAAGGTGCTCCCTGCTTAAAAAAAAAAAAAAAACGAAATGCAGCTTCATTTCCTCATAAATTTAGGTTAAACCACACATATCCTCAAAGGATTAGGATCATCAGCAAGCTAACTACTGGCAATGCACTGGTCAAAGCAATCCGAAAAGTCTTCAGATGCATTGACAGAAAACCAGAATGTGATTCACATTTGATACACATATAATTATCCCTGGTCAATTAAAATGAAACGAACGCATTAATTTGATCTTCGTTATGTCTGACAGGTATTTCGTCATATTCGGGACAACCCTGAAACAAATTTGGAGATAATGCTCACGCAACAGAACGTACTAGCAATTGCTCTCACTCTTTCCCTTTTTTATTCTACAACTTCTTTACATTGACGCTTATTCAAATAGTCGTCCTCCCCATTTTACCAAAATTTGCACAGATGATGTTTCTTATCGATTCGATACAAAATTTTTCATTTCTAGATCCATCTGGCTCGCCAGCTCAAATTATTTAATAACTTTTTGCTGAACTTGGTGCTTTTTAATTAGAATCAGAGTTGCTTTAGCTATTTTTTTATGCTTTTTGTGCTGTGTAATAGCAGTACAAAACGGATATTGTCAAGGGGTTGTCTGTGTGTGTTTGTGTTCGCAGCAACTTGCCCGCAACTTTCAACTCGGGAACCACAAAAGCTAGGAACCTGAAAATTTAGGGTAACGTTCCCCAACCACGTGTGATTCAGCAAATTTAAATTCAGCTTCCCCGTACCCGCGAGTAACGCGTACCGCCCCGTGAAAGTTTTTTACGGGTAAATTAATATCTCGGGAACCACGGAGTCTAGGAGGCTGAAAT